AAGGCCGAGAATGTTTGGTGTGACGGGGATTCGAACTCGCGACCCTCAGATTGTGAGTCGAGCGCCGTAACCACCTGGCCATGCCGGGTCGTCTGAAAGAGTACGACCATCGTAGCGACACGGATTGTAACGACGTAATGAGGCTTTAAAATCATTTTAATATAACGTGCTCATCCTCTCTACTCACAAAATATATCGCTGCTGTTATCTTTTAGTACCTAAACTTACTGAGACTGATTCTAACATTTGACAAAAGACAAACTGAAATTAGTTGTTTCACCTTTTTAAATTTTACTTTGAAAATTAGCTATTTCGATATCAGTTTATTAATGCAACTTTTAATTTAATTGTGAATGATCAAAATAAAACGCTATAACAATATTTAAAAATGAAAGCATTTTGTACAAGAAAACAACAATTAGTTTAATAATTTTACTTATCTTAAATAAATTTAGATGATGCAACCAGAGTTGTACTCCAGAGTTGTACGTCAGGAGACTACATAAACGCTAGTCATGTAAATGTATGTATACTTTTTTGTACTACCTCATATATGTTTTTGTACTGTTCAATTTAACCCCCAAGTTACAGTTCACTACTGGTGAGGTCCATATATATATATATATATATATATATTATATTTTTGCCCGTTAGAACAACCAGTAGCTAAAAAACATTGGGTGAAACATATACAGGAGACCACACTAGTAATTAGTAAGATTGATTGCAATGTTTATGGTATTTTTGTTGTATTCTTATTTTTTTTGCTCAAATGTTATTAGAAACTGTATTCAACATAAATAATTTAGAAAACTGTGTTTAAAAAAAGGTGAAGGAGCAACATATGGACTTCTCTGTCGTTTAAAAGCCAAATACTTAACGGTAATAACAACTTTACAGGTTTAAAAATTATTAGACTTTTTACTTCATATATGCACCCGCAAACAAAAAAAATCTATATTCTGTTATGATTTTATAGATTTATAGATATAAACAATGGTGTTTGAATTCTACTAACTTTTCTGACTAACTAACTTTAGTGCACCGAATGGAATATATTAATTATGAAGTATCTATTTGTTTAGATACTGTCATGTAATTCAAATCACACAGTTAAAAATAACATTAAAACGTTCATTTTATTAAACTGTCAATAAGAGTATTTTATGTTAGTCTCCTAGTGGGTCAGCGGTAAGTGTACAGATTTACAACGCTAAAAATCTAAGTTCGTTCTGCGCGATGGACAAAGTTCATATAATCCATTGTGTAGCTTTACGCTAAACCAACAACCATCCAAATGTACAAGACGTATTAGGGTACAAATTTCGATATCTTGTTAATAAAGAAAATTACGACTGTATGAATGTAATTTGATGTTTTATTCACTTGAACTGTAATATATTCAACTTTCCAAGAGTTTCTTATTCACATCTGTAAATCTAATAGAAAATATCAGTGCTGAAAATTGTATTCTGCACATTTAAAGGTTACTATTATTGGAAGTAGCTTTAATAAAATTAGATCTTATGCATTTATATCTTGTATGCTGTGGTTATTCGTTGGAATGTTAAGAAACAAAAAATGCAGTTGATAAAATCTCCAGCTTATATGTTTCAACAATGAAAATGATGATTTATTTATGATATAGTGATATTTGTTTTATAACAAACAGTAACAGGTTAAATTGGCTTAGAATCATTTAGATAAACATACATTATTAGATGCTATCTGTTGAAGTAAGAAACGTTAACGTAGATAATGGTAGACTATTCGCTGTTTCCTTGGATGTAAGAGATAACGAATAATATAACCTCTTCTAATACTACCCAACTGAGATGACGACAGATTACGGAAAATAACTACCCGAAAAAGACATACCAGCTCCATTTTATTTTCGTTTTTCGTCGTGGACTACGGTTTAAAAAGGATGAATTATTAAATAAAAACTGGTTGTGGAATAATAATGAATTGTCCGGAAAGAATCAAAAAGTACTTTATTAACAAAATTTACCATGTTAGATTTCAAAGCTTATTTTCTCACTAAAAACTTTTCTTAGAGTTAAGTTTAAGAATTAGGTTTCTTTTAGAGTGAATGAAAAAGTTTAATTTTTGTAAACTTTTTGTTGTACGGTTATTATTTTAGCGTTTAGATACACAATGGGCAACCTGCGCTCTGTCCACCGTGGGGAATCGTACCCTGGATTTGAGCACTGTAAGTCCGCCAACTTACGAGGGGGAGTCAGTTTTATGGTTTGTTTGTTTGTTTTTGAATTTCGCGCCAAGCTACACGAGGGCTATCTGCGCTAGCCGTCCCTAATTTAGCAATGTAAGACTAGAGGGAAGGCAGCTAGTCATCACCACCCACCGCCAACTCTTGGGCTACTCTTTTACCAACGAATAGTGGGATTGACCGTCACATTATAACGCCCCCACGACTAAAAGGGCGAGCATGTTTGGTGTGACGGGGGATTCGAATCCGCGACCCTCAGATTGCGAGTCGAGCGCCCTAACCACCTGGCCATGCCGATCCCAATTTTATAGACTCTTTCTTGTACACATTTTGATGTTTCTAAGAATACTGAAGTTAAGACTATCTGATTCTCTTAGTTATTAAGCAATGTTTTTTCAAGTTTTCTATTGTTTTAAATTACCAAGACACGTGTATATTTTATTAAAAGTCAGCTGTGATATTGTATTTTTTGTCTTATATTTAAAATGAACGCTTTGGTTCACATACAAAAATGTTTTGTATAAACCGTTTGAGAATTTGTAAGTCTCCCCGTAGGTTCAAGAAGTCTTGATAGAAATGAATAGAAACCCTATAACCCGGGTACTATTTTTATTCATGCTCCTATCCGGCATGGCCAGGTGGTTAGGGCGCTCGACTCGCAATCTGAGGGTCGCGGGTTCGAATCCCCGTCACACCAAACATGCTCGCCCTTTTAGCCGTGATAGCGTTATAATGTGACGGTCAATCCCACTATTCGTTGGTAAAAGAGTAGCCCAAGAGTTGGAGGTGGGTGGTGATGACTAGCTGCCTTCCCTCTAGTCTTACACTGCTAAATTAGGGACGGCTAGCGCAGATAGCCCTCGTGTAGCTTTGCGCGAAATTCAAAACAAGCAATTCACGGTATTAGGTTGTTAGCAGTTCAATACAACCAATATTAGCTATTGGCAGTTCAGTGTACGTAATACTATTATTAGCAATTCAATACACGCAATACTATTTATTAGCAGTTCATTACACATAATACTAGTTATTATCAGTTCAGTGTAACGTAAATATAGTTGTATTACATGCTTTGCGAACTAATATATAAATTAGTTTCTAAATTTAGTATTTTAAGAAAGTTGAGTAAATTTACAAGTCTTTCAATTACTAACCAGAATTACATAGTCACACTAATCTATGCTATATATATATGTATGTGTGTGTATATTGAAGTTGGTCAATTATTCGAACTGATGGCTTTATCATGTGCACCATTTCTACAGATGGAAATACCAACTTCTAAAATTGTAAATAAATATATTGCCACACAAGGACCCTTACCGACTACGTGTATTGAGTTCTGGCAAGTAAGTTAATTTTTTATTATTTATTCTGCTTTTGATTTATTAAAATCTTATTTTCTTTTGCTGTATTATATATAAAGGATTTGAGATCGTTCCTGTGTGCTAAAGTAGGTCTAGAAATAACTTGTTTGTAAGCGTAAAGCTGCTCAATGGGCTATTTGTGTTGTGCCCACCACAAAGGATCTAGTTTTAGCGTTATAAGCCCCCAGCTTACCACTGGATCACCAGCGAGGGCTTAAAATAACTAAAATCAATAATGATTTATCTTGCGACAGTGAGTGTACTTTCATATCTTGTATGAGAAAGAATGACTTCATATTTTTATTTAAAACTTGAAATATTGAGATTACTTAAACCAATAACAAATTTTAATTGTGTTCCAGAAACCAATAATTAAAATTAATAAGTTCTAATTTTTTGTATAATTTTTCTCTGCAATTTATTACTTTTAGTGGATATGTTCCTATTCAGTTTTACCATTCATTCAATTTCCTTAGACGTCCCTCTTGGTCCTATTTAGGTTTAATAGTATGGCTTTGTTCTAATTGATTAAAATTTTGTTGCATTTAGTTCCTGATAATTAGAATTAGTTAACTGATTTTTGTTGCAAGCTTTACAAAAGTGGCTTTGATTTCCTCGAAGGAAGTGCGATTAAATCTTAGCGATGAATAGCTTTAGAATAAAAAAAAATGTCTGATTGAATAACCAAGTTGAAATATTTCTGGAGTTATATTGCTATATTTTCGTTAATTAGAAACATCAGATAGATTCCTAAATTTTATTAGTAAATATATCTTTAAACTTTAATTAGTTTATTCTTAAAGTACAAGTTAAAATTTCATAAAAAAGAGAAAGTTTAGTTTCTAATGTTACTATCTATTTATTGCATTTCTGATTTAAGGTTTCATTTGTGCTACGAATAAAATCTATAAATTGATTCATGTTTGTCCACCGGTGGAACAGGTTAAGTCTAAAGGCCTAAAACCCGGGGTTCGATTCCCCGCGGTAGCCCAATGTGGCTTTGCTCTAATCAAACGGTTCATTTCTTTATGGTGTGTAAATTTAGATTTTTAAGATTTTACCTTTACTTTTAATCAGAAATAAATAAAAAGGTAAAAAAATTAGTTATAGATTACTCCAAATCTTGATTTACCCTTTTTTATATTTGGATTAAGCGAATTTATTGAAGCTTGCGTAATGCTATGGAGTTTATGAATGGGTTAATATTTCATATCTTGAACAAGACGATGTAGAAATTTACTTAATTAAAAAATGTCATTATATGATAAGTAGGCAAAAGTCCACGAGGCGCACAATAAATACTTTTATGTTGCGAACTTCACTTACTTACGAGCAAAGAAAAAGAAATATATGAATTAAACACATTTTCGTTAAGTCTTATTTATTATGTCCTTAAAGTAGGTACGTTTCGCTTTTTTTGGATATTAAACGCACAACAAAGTTTACAAAACACGCATCCTCGTTGTGCATGTTTAACTTTTGACAAATGAACATTTATAACTGTGTTATTTGTATGTGACTTTGAATCAGTTTATGAATTCAGTTATTTAGAAAAGCGTTAAAACATGGATACTTAAAAATACTAACTTTTGATCTCCCCCTCTCTCTCCCTCTATTTCAACTGAAAACTTCTACCTTTTATACAGTTTACTGTAAACATTAATGGCTTTCATTAAATAGTCTTACTATTACAAGTTCACGTTACATTTGTGGTGATATCATGCGTTATAGGAACACGTCACAACAGAGAAGATAAGCACAAAAGAAGTATCGCTAAGTTTTTCGGTGTTTTCTAAAACCATTAAGCTAATATTTTGATTAAAAAACACAAGCCGAAAAATCATTTGTACAGAAGTAAAAACATTGTGTAAAGATGACATATTCCACTCAATATCTCGGAGAAAGGAGCTCATTAAAAAACACAAGCCGAAAAATCATTTGTACAGAAGTAAAAACAGTGTGTAAAGATGACATATTCCACTCAATATCTCGGAGAAAGGAGCTCATTAAAAAACACAAGCCGAAAAATCATTTGTACAGAAGTAAAAACAGCGTGTAAAAATGACACATTCCACTCAATATCTCGGAGAAAGGAGCTCAGGAAGAGTGAACTCCTTTCATCACTGTCGTTTCGCCATCTCTGCCTAATCACACAAAATAACATACGTATACCTATAGACATAAGCACAAAAGAAGAAAGAAATGATGTTTTTTTTTCTGCATGATCGGTTCCCTTTATGTCCTTAGATTTAAAATATATAATTCTCAGATCATTAGATGTAGGTAATATTAAATTAAGTAATTCTGATCCTACAACATACAGATCAGCCGTGTATCTCCCACCAGAAGGCACCATGAACAGAAAAATATAACTCAAAATATCTGATTATCTATCAGATTTTCATAATAACTTTTGAATATAAGATTCCGTACTAAAAACATATTCAAAATGCGAAAACGTCCACATGAATACACCGTCAATTTTGATCATTTTGTCACCACAATCATTATGCTAAACATACTGTTTAACTAATAGTACCTTGTACCTTTTGAGTAATGTATTAAAATTTCCGAATATTTCTAAGCGGATGTGAAAAATGAAATAAATCAAATTTGATGTTCTTTAAGACACAAAAGTATACTATATATTATGTATTCCAGATGGTGTGGGAACAAAAATCCACGTTAATTGTTATGCTAACAACGTTACTGGAACGGGGCCGACTGAAATGTCATAAATACTGGCCAGATAAAAACAAAACGGAGACTTACGGTCAGTTGGAGATTACCTGTGTGGTTGAGGTAGAAACTACGTCTCTTGTTCATCGGGAACTTCATCTGATAAATAAAGAGGTAAACTTCTGGTTACCAAAAAAAACACTTTAATAAAAATTATTTTCTGATAAATAAAGAGGTAAACTTCTGGTTACCAAAAAAAACACTTTAATAAAAATTATTTTCTGATAAATAAAGAGGTAAACTTCTGGTTACCAAAAAAAAACACTTTAATAAAAATTATTTTCTGATAAATAAAGAGGTAAACTTCTGGTTACCAAAAAAAAACACTTTAATAAAAATTATTTTCTCATGATTTTTTTTACAATTTGGCAGACATTTTATTGTAAATTCCTATGCAGTGTAAGAACTGTGTTAAAAACAGGATCACAATTGGTGTCATTCAAACGTGCAGTTCTAAGTTGTATGTCACCTTATTCGATAAGTCTGTTGGTTTGTTTTTTGTGAAGTGAAGACAGACTACGTGGCTTCATTTTCTACTTTGAGAAAACATATTGTTACAGGTCAGTGTGCAACGTTATACATTCCCATCAAAATATGTGTCCAAAGATGAGTTTCGATATTATATAGTGTACGATTCTTGGAAGTAAGAATAATTTTTATATGTTTTAAATACGAATATGTGGATCGAATTAGATATTTGTTGCCATAAGACCTTATATCTTAATTATCAATAACTGTTATCATTCATTCAGTTACTAACTTATATCTGGGCAACGTATTTTTGATACGTGGGAAACTTAAGTACTTATCGTTCGTATGCAGGTTTTCATCAAATGGTTTTAACATTTTTAATAATTGAATATATAATGGGATACACTTTAGGTAAATATCATTTTTCATGAAGAGTAGCGTAAGTAAATAGAAATTTCAAACACAGTAGGCTTAGATATATATCCTTTTAGTTTCAAAGTGATAACGTGGCACGCACGTTTTCTACAAATAAAACAGAGGCTAAAATATTAAACAACTCGTAGTTACTTTCTGTTTTCTTTTCTAGGAATCTACAGAAAGAAAAGTAATTCAGATGCAGTACGTTGCATGGCCAGACCACGGTGTACCTGTTGATGCTAGCGACTTCCTAGCTTTTGTCGGCAAGGTGCGAAACTACCGCGAAGGGACGGACGTTCCCATAATAGTTCACTGTAGGTGAGTAGTGTATGTTACGTGAAACCAACTAGGGACCAGTCGGTCCACATAAAAAAAGGTGTGCGACATATGTTATTTTAAAATATTTATTTCATGATATGTAAATGATATTTCTTATAAAATGTTGTGAATATGACTTTAAAATTTATTTTTTATTTAATATATTGCCAATCTTTTTGGAGCTGATACAACTTAAAAGACGCACTTACATTGTGAGTTATAAGAGTTTGTTTGAAATTAAGCACAAAGCTACACAATGGGCTATCTGTGCTCTGCCCACCACCGGTATCGAAACCCGGTTTCTTGCGTTGTAAGTCCGCAGACATATCGCTGTGCCACTGGGGGGCGAGTTATAAGAGACAATCTCGGTACGGCAATTACTGTATTACTTTTGATTTTGGGGCGGCAGAACTATCCGAAGTACGGATGTTGTTATTGTTTTTTAAATGGAATTAGTGCACTGGAAAGGGAAGCTTCAGTTCCAAACCTGAATTCAGTTTCCTCTCAGGATAAAGTTCAAACCAGTCAGATAATAAAGCCCTCTCCTCTTTCTGTCAAAAGCAAGGATAGGCATCAATACAATATGTTCTAAAATGCACCAGAATATAACAATTTCCATGCTGCAATTTAAGTTTCCTGAGGGAGCACATCCCCGGACTTCTCTACATCCCCTCTTATACTGGTATATTAATTACAACAGAA